GTTGAACGTCCAATTGGCTGACCCACCCCGTAGCCCCCTCCCCTCCCTAAAATAGGTGAAAAATACACAGTTACAACATAAAAAACTATGAAACGTCTCTAAACACCGTTTCGGGCTTAGAGAGCGCAGGGCGCCGCGCCGCAGCCGCGCCGCGTGGTCCCCCCCAACCCACTTAGCACCCTCATTTTCATTAAATTTGATTCACTCCATTTTCGTATCCTTTTTCTTCAATTGTTATGAATGTTTGTTATAAAATTTTTGATGTTTCAAAGTTGGAAAATCATGGTCATGGTTGCAGGATATGCACGTTGGAAAGGAAAACTTTGATATTCGGTTTATGTGCATTCGACGAGAGCTTATTGAACCAAGGAATGCTGCAATAAAGGTATGCGGATCTTGTTAATAGTTTAATAAAAATTTCAAAATCGAAGGTATAACTAATGCATCTTTATGTTCAACCTTGTCAGTTTATATCGTTCACTTCATTTCATTTTGAGTAAAGAAATGATTCCGTACTATCACCAGCCGATGGTAACGATAGCGCATTTATAGTTTCTAGGCAGGACGTATTCGTAAGGAGCGGGAACCCATGTCCGTTCGCGTGAAAGATTTCTGGGAAATGGAGGCCTTGCCGAAGCTTTTCGAGCCAAAGTTTACCAAGAATGTCGGGCACGAGATTGATGGTCTTATTCTTCAGCCGGTCGACGCAGTAAGTAACCAAACAGTTTGCACACTAGGCTTTGTGTTGGAGCTTTTCTACAATCAGGACGGAGTTTCCATTTCTTTTCACTACTACCGAGTGATATCGATTTTAATGGAAGACTCTTTCCATTTCAGCCATACACGCCAGGTCGTTCAGATATTGTGCTCAAATGGAAGCCCCCTTCTCACAACTCGATCGACTTCAAGCTTCAGATTAGAAAGTATGTGATTGCCTTTTGCTAAGAAACATTTTTTTTGCTCCGGGTGATTATCTTCTGAGGGCGTATGAGGTCCTGTGCGTGATTAGACGAATTGGCTGACTTTCACATTTTATCTGCGGTACCTAAAGAGAAAATGCGAGCGTAAATTCTAGCCTATACTTATAAAAAAAATCCACTCAGAATATGGGCAGTATGACCCTGGTCTGTACCTATCTTCTCTGTGCTACGAACGGGAATCCTTACAAAATGATAACCTATCGTTCATGTGTGGCTAAAGGTACTAGAAAGGGTCTAGAAACTTACATGGTACGGCTTGGAGGAATTCGAGAGAGAGGATCAGTGGTTTGAAGAAAAAGAAGAGACAAGTGTTCGTACACACCCTTTTCTTAGTGAAATGTCATAGATATAAGTTTATTTGCAATGTTTGAAGACGATGAAAGGCGTCTAATGCACGTTGAGACATTGAAAGTCTCATGAAAATCTTTTTTTTCTTGATATTCTCAGGTTTGAAGCTAGGATCCAACGTCGCAGAGTGTAATGTAAAAGTGTAAGTATTAGGTTGGCAAATAAGTCCTGCGACAAAATGGAGCCCTTTTTTGAATCATTTCTAAATTTTTTCATATCAATCAATTTTCGGAAAAATATTCACCGAAGAAGTCAACAGTCTTTTCTTATCCTTTGAGCCAATCACTGATGCCATCTATTCAAGAGTGGGGGAGCTGTGACTCAAAAAAGTAATTAACTACCGTTTTTGGATCACATTAAATTACGAATTTCTTTTCCACAACGGGATGGTCAAAAAGGGAGAGCACATGGTAGGTAAAAGGGGGAACACTCCGGGAGTAGGACTGATGAGTATTCTGAAACCAATCGGGATCGGCGAACTTTTGACGTGGGTCTAAAGCAAATTTTCGACGTGAGTTATCCCTCTGTAGGGGCCTGATTTACGGGATGATCGCCCTTCTCTAACCCCGTTGGCCGAATTAAGGGGATCATAGGGGCAAGCGATAGCTGTGTTCATCCAGTCTGCGTTTAGCAACTCATAGTGGATGAATTCCTTCAACCTCCATTAAACTAAGGGACGATGCTTGCGTTACTCCGAAGGCTAGTATCTCCTACAGCGAAGCGATCCAACAGATTGTTGACCGTCGATCGGTGAGCAGTGCTAGCATCGAATAGATTGCTGATGTTTCGAGCAGCTACACTCGTGTTTTTCTCTTGGCGTGCTTAGTAGAAGGTGATGGTACGAATCGGGTGTTGTCCACTTCCTGACCGTAGTGCTGCGAAAGCCCACACGCGTGCCATTATTCACTCATGTGTTGATTGCTCGGGGAATGCCCTACAAGTTTATAACCCTTGCTACCGTGTTCACACTGTTGATATAAATTTTCAACGCCTCAAATTTTTTGTCGCAGGATTATTTGCCAACCTAATAGCTAAAGCTGTTCACTCTTTCTCGCTGATAGCTCTTCTACATATTGCTTAACCAGGAAACTGTGAATACCCTGTAAGAGTTTTGAATCTCATCAGAAAAATTTGAAAGTATGATTTAGAGTTGTCAAGGAAGGTGAACTACCCCAGCATATCGGCTATCTCTATGTGCAACATGCAAACGAACCGATGGCGACGATGAAAGCAACAAAAAAATTGCTCCCATATGATAATAAAATTATTGAATGTACGTTTGAGGTAGGAGCTGTTTTTTTAAATTTTGTGCCTTGCTCAATGGCGTTGTAGTCAAAAAAATGGTACATATTACTTTAAGTGTTCATCAAATCTGATGACTAACCCATTTGAGCTTTTTGTTTTGTTTTTGTTTTCGTTTCCCTCCTTTCTTCAGGAAAACTTCCTTTCTTTGTTAATGCCTTTCTTTCATTGCCTAACGGATTTCCAGAATGGTCAATGGGTGTTCATGAGAGAACGAACAGACAAGTCGTTGCCTAATTCGTTGAAAACTGCGCAGGCGGTGTTCAACAGCATGATAAATCCAATTGATAAGGACATGTTAATAGAGTGAGTTCCTCTTTCTCACTTATTTCTTGGGACCGGGTCCTCTTTTTGCTGGTTCTAAAGAAAATTGGCTTTGTCGCTCTTTTGCTAGGCTTATAACTGTTCTTTAGCTTTGTCGCGAAATACGGATACAAGAGAAAGCATTCTCAAATCGAGCCAGAAAGGAAGCGGCCACGAAACGAATACAGCTAGGCTCATTAGATCTGCTCTCATGAGTATAGGGTTGAATATAATACGTTTTCTATTTATCATATTTCCTTTCTTACTTGTCCACCCTTTTTCCTTCCTCAATTTTAACCATACTTTCTCTTAATGTTGAGCTGAAATAATTGTATGTGATTTGAGGAGTTATCTAGAAATTTTTGAAGGTCTGATCCATTGCCTGTTGAAGATTATAAATCAGTACTTCTTGCATCATCCGTTTGTATACGTATTATTGGCTTTCCGTCCTTGAATATTGGTGTCGAATTATCCATGAATTATTTATTTCCAAGTTGTCCTTTTTTGATATTTCATGCAGTGGATGCTTTCATAGTTCAGTCTCGAGCGTCACTGGCGCAAGAGCGTGAAGCGTCAGCGGCGAAGATGGTGGTTCGTTGGAACATGTTGTTCTGCATGTTGAGCTGTGTAGAGCTATATAAAATGGTGTATGCAAGGAAGAAGCGATGAACAGCAATGGAAATATGGGAAATGATGGAAATTCTCAAAAACAAGTAATCGGAGATTAGGGAAAAGTGGTGGAAAGCAATATGAAATCTGGAAATTGATAAACGGAAGCAAGCAAGGTGGTGTGAGCAAGACCAAACCAAACCGAAATTCAAGGCAATTAATGTGAGAAAGCGAAATTAAAATAACAAAGAGGAAGGAGTGAAAATTAGAGCTAGAAAAATTCATTCGAAGAAGTAGTTACCGACGATCTATGGTGTAACGGGCAGTCGCAGAGTGTCAAAAGTAGACGCTGTCGGCTGACGTTGACGCCTATTCATGAAAGTTACTTATACGTTTAGTAACTACATACATTTTCCTGCTTCATCTCTGATTGTTGTGGTTGGTGGGCTCTCTGCTGTTTTTACGCTTTTTGCTCGTCTTTGGATTGGTATTTTATCGTCTATTCTACTATACTAGAAGTACCTCATGGCTGAGGGAATATGCAAACGAGATTTTTCGTGGCGGGGTTCGAATTTCCTTATTTCGTTGCCACAAGGA